AACCCTAAACCCTGAACCCTCCGCCCACCCGACCCTCCCCCAAAACCAGAAGTCTCAGGGCATTCAACCCTTCACCCTAAACGCCGTCTCAGGGAGGTCCTTGAAGCGCCCAACCCCTCGGCTGATCCGAACATCGCCTCCCAAACGCGGCGGGTTGAGGGTTTGGTATACTTAGGGTTTCTTTGGCGTAGCTCGAAGTCTGTTTATTTGCCATAACCAGGTGGAGGACGACACAACCTGCTGTCTTTAGTGATGCAGGCATGTAGGCAAAACAGAGGACATGCTCGTCCGATGCTCAAAGCGGTTATTGTCATCCTTGCACAGAGTTTGGCCTTTCGGCAACCACGTGCAGAAGGAACCAAGAACTTCGATGGTTCAAAGTACTGGCTACGCAGCAGGACGGCTCGTTGTGGTGATGGTGGTTCTTGGTGTATGGCTAGGCCGCGCTCTGATTACGTATCCCTGCCCCTACATGTTTACTTTACATGCATTTGTTAGCATCCGAATTCTTGCTACCCGCGGCTACCGCCAACGCAACAGCAGTAATGGTACTATGCCTCACATCCATACCTTACGAACCCAAAACCTACTTTTTTGTAGGGTCCCTATAAGTCCCATATTAGGGTTTATAATAAGAACCTACAAAAAAGTGGGTTTTGGGGTCTTAAAGGTAGTCTCAACACTTCGAACTCCGAAACCGGCAAAACTTTACAGCCAAAAGCCCCAAATCCCGCACCCCAATCCCGAAACCCTGAAACCCCACACGCATGAACCCCAAGTCCACGCGTAAACCCTGAAGACCGAAGCCTGAATAGCCAAACTCAAACCCAATCCTTGCAGGTAATCCTTCTGGCAACCCCGATAGCAATAAGTTCGCCTCGGCCCTCGGCCGAAGCGGTCAGAGCCTATTCGGACTTCCTCTATTCCCCACCTCTTAATCCCTTCCCGAGACGCGAAGCGTTTAAAATTAACCCTTAAGCCCTAAAGCCCTAAAGCCCGAAACACTAAACGCTCTAAGCCCTACACCCTGAACATCCCTAAATCCGAAGCCCCAAACCAGAGACTCTTGAATGCTAAACCCGACCGGTGGATCCTTGCAGCAGCGTCGTATCGAATCTGCCCGGGCCAAGTTCACCGAGCAGCTGCGGGAAGCCGTAGCCTCACTGGCTTTTGGCCGGACTGAATACTCGAGTCTATAATCAGGTATAACATTATATCATTATATCATTTTGTTAGGCCATGGTCGATTACAGTATATTAAGGGATACTGTGGTATACATAGTATCTGGTAGAAACTTGTATTATGTTGTATACTGTGGTTTGCTCAGCTTCTGGCAACTCGCTGCTTTAAGCACAATCCTAAACCCCTAACCCGACACCCCAAACAACCCACGAACACGCGTGCCCATGGGACCATCAAAGTCCCCCCCCTCCCCCGCGAGGCAAGCCTGAGCCATCAGGATGCCGGACTAAAACTAGAAGATAGAAGAGTATATTAGAGTATACTGTTCTAGTACGTTCTAGAGTATAGTATAGTATGCTATTGTAGTACCTTATAGACTTATAGAGTACATTGTAGTACCAAAACAATACATTATAGAGTATATCACAGTGTATGGCATATAGTGATACTGTATTCCGGCACTTGGTCATCGCTACACCCCAAACCTACACTGCAACTATGCGACAGTTCGAAAAACCCAGCCCTCGACTATACCGTTGATCACTTCCTCCTCGTCGCCCGCGTAAACTACATGATATGAACGAATGAAATAAAAATGGTATAGTATAGTACAGTATAGTTTCGTAGAGCTGAGCAGAGCAGAGCAGAGTATAGCAGAGAAGCGTAGCAGAGCAAATCATAGATTAGTACTCACATCAGCATTAGAATTCGTAATCGTATTTACTTTCATATTGGTGTAAATATCAGTAGTAGTATAGCTAAACCCTAAACCCTGAACCCTGAACCGATTATATTGTGGCCACGGCCAGAGACCCTGGCCAGGTTTTTGGTTTTGGGTTTGGGGTTTGGGGTTTTTTGGTTTAGGGTTGAGGGGTTTTTTGGTTTAGGGTTTAGGGTCTAGGGTGGGTTGAAAGCTTCCTGGGATTTTCGGAGGGGCGTGCCAGGTCTGGCCTCTACATGCAAGGCGCGGGTCGAAGGAAATAAATCCAAAACGTGATAGAAACCCTCATAAAACGCGTATGAAACCGTATAACAGCGTATAAGAACCGTAGAAATCCGTAGAAATCCCTATACACCATCTACACCCCTTTTCTGTAAGACCCCTATAAAACCGAACCAGCCTCTGTAAAACCCGCAGAATGCGCCGCGGAGCTGGAGCGAAGTGGCAGCCACGATGCAAGGCCCTGTGAGCTGGCGAAGTGTTTCGGGCTCAGGGGGGCTTTGGGATTAGGGGTTTCGGGTTTTGGCGTTTAGGGTTCAGGATTTAGGGTTGAGGGTTGCGCTTAGGCGATAGTGTCTTGCGACGAGGTTGTGTCGAGTGCATCGTACTATCGCGACGAACTGCGAAAGCCTGTGTATCGAGGGCTTGTTCCTTCCTTCTTCCCCACCCCACGTCCTATAAGGCGGCCAAGCCACAACCCTAAACTCTAAACCCTAAACCCTAAACCCTAGGGTTTAGACCTAAACTCATGCCATCGCAGTTAGGTAATGATTCATGAAGGGCCAGGGCTGGTCCCGGGGAGAACGTGTTCCGGTACCGGGTACGACGTGGGTGCTACAGTCCCCATGGCTGTGGAGAGGTGGCCCGGTCAGCCTTACGCGATCGGTTGCGAGGGGCTTCAGCGCCGCCCACCCACTCTCGGTTTTGGGGTTTAGGGTTTAGGGTTCAGCGGATGGAGCAGTATTTTAGTAAAGTTGTAGCTACGGTTTTGATGTAACACCCACCCAGAGAATCCCACAACATTAAAAAATATTCATTAAACCATATAGGGCGGTTCAGCACTTTCTATTCAATAACCACCTTTCTATTCTAGTTCGGATTATGTTCATTTAGGGTTCGGACTTTTTAGGATTCAGACTACGAGTTAAGGGTTTGGACTACTACTTTAGGGTTCGGACTACTATTTTAGGATTCTGGCTATCATTTTAAGGCTCGGACAACTATTCGACCTAATATTTTAGGATGCAGGCTAATACTTTGCGGTTCGGACTTCTATATTGGGAGTCGGACTACCATTTTGGGGTTCGGGCTTTTATTGTAGGATACGGACTTGGGACTCGGACTATTGCTTTCGGATTAGGACTACTCTTTCAGGGTTATACTCTTTTGGGGTTCGGTGACTTATTAGCAAATGCCGACGAACTATTGGCCGAGAAGGAACGAATGGCCATGGCCGACGAAGCCCCTTCGTCCCTAAACCCTAAACCCTAAACCCTAAACCCTAAAAGGCCAGTATCCGTCGGCGAAGGCCGAATGGCCTTGCCGACGAATTATTGGCCGATGCCGACGAAGGTCATTAGGGCTTTCGAGCGCTCACGGTTTGAGAAGATCCCTAAAGAAGATATGCAGCCTATGTTTGAGGGTTTGGGTTTAGGGCTTAAACTATCATGTGAAAGAGAGGTTCAGGGTTTAGGGTTTAGGAAATACGGTTCAGGGTCACAACCAGAAAAGGCCCAAAACAAGATATCACAAAGTAGGAACAACACACGGTCCCTAAGACCTAAACCCCAAGAGCCTGAAGCTCCTCCCCATTCCGCCGCCGGAGTGATCGATCCAGTCTCTCCTGTTCCGACAGCTTCGGGCGGGCGTGGAAAACTCATGAAGACAGCCAGCCGTAGGCTTACAGGCCTAGTTTTCAAATTCAAGATTCAGGGTTCTGCGTCGAGTTTAGGGATTTAAAATTTAGGTCTGGGGCTTGGCTTCGGGTTTGGTTTGGGTTTGAGGGTTTACAGGGCGTCCAAACGCGGGAGTCGCCCAGAACCGTGCATCCCCACTTTGGGGCGTCAGATGCGTTTCAGGCTTCGCGCTGCCCTAAGCAAAGACTCTAGCTGCAACGATTGCAAAATGACAAAGATAGAAAGAGCGCAGAATGACTGCTGTCCTCGCAAAAAACATCACTTCAATCGCCGTATATACTGTGGCCATGCTGGAGACAGCAATCAACATGGAAACACCGGTCAAGAGCGTAGTGCTGGAAATACTCACGATTGATCCGACGCCCTCTCCATTACAGGAAACCCTCAACCGAAAACCCCCAAATTCCCTCACGCTAGTTCCCCCGACCCTAAACCCTAAACCCTCAACCCTAAACCCCCTTAGAGCAGGCCAGCACGATGCGGAGGCGGATGTCACCATACGCCTGGCCACCAACCCCAGGGCTCTCGGGTTTGGGGGTGCACGGCTTAGGATTAAGGTTAAGGGTTTAGGGTTGAGGATTTAGGGTTTGGGGTGTAGGGTTTAGGGGCTGAGGATTAAGAGCTTAGGATCTTGGGTATAGGGCTTCGGTTTAGGTTGCAGGATTTAGGGTTTGCGTCTAGGGCTTAGAAGTAAGGGTTTAGGGTTTAGGGGTTTGGAGTTTAGTGTTTAGGGTGTGGGGCGGAAGGCTTAGGACCAAAACCCTGAACCCGAAGGACCCCAAACCCTCAAAGCTCTAAATCCCAAATTCCTTGAAACTGCCAACTAAGCTCTGACTGAGGAAGCTTCGAAATTCTTCCGGGTAGTCTTATCTCTTATTGGAGCGTATTCCTTTTAAATCACAAAGACTAGTTGCTAGTTCATGGTTGGGATAGTATTGAGACTTGAAATTGCTCTCTTCCTTATCGAGATTGGGCACCCCATAAGCATCTCTCTTCCTTATCGAGATTGGGCACCCCATAAGCATGTAAAATGCTACCCAGCTGACCCTAAACCCCAAACCCTAAACCCCAAACCCCAAACCCCATACCCTCACCCTAAACCCTAAACCCTAAACCCTAAACCCCAAACCCTAAAGCCTAAACCCCAAACCCTAAACCCTAACCTAAACCCTATACCCTAAGGCCTAAGCCCCCTTTAAGAAGTAGAACCCCGACAGAAGGGTGACCCCAAGACGAATTGCAGATGAGAAGTCCACCGCTTCGAGGGTCGCAGGGTTAGACAGTGTCGGCTGCTGTTGCCCTAAACCCTAAACCCTAAACCCTAAACCCTAAACCCTAAACCCTAAACCCTAAACCCTAAACCCTAAACCCTAAACCCTACCTTCATGAAAGGGCAATCCTGCAGGTGGCAGCGTCCAGTGACGAGTCGACCCCGAGTCCCCTACCACAAGATCATTAGGGTTTAGGGGTTAGGGTTTAGGGTTTAGGGTTTAGGGTTTAGGGTTTTCGGTTTTGGGTTCAGGGTTTAGGGTTTAGGGTTTAGGGACGTTTACCTTACACCCCAAACTCTCGACCCTGCGGCTCTTCGCTGAGCCCTAGCATCAGTCCAACTCTTTCGGGTTTGGGACTGGAAGGTTTTCAAGGTGGAGGGGTTCACCGTCCTGGGACTCCCGGTTAGAATTTACGCGTCTTGGGGTTTACCATGCGGGGCGTCAGTTGGGGGATCGGGGAGTTCCTGCTCTTTAACTTTCGGGCGTGTGAAAGACCGCGCCTCGAAACGATGGTCCAGGCTGAGGACGACCTCTGCATCCTGCAATCGCTTCTAAAGTGAGGCTGGTCCCAGACTTATGCAACCCAAAGCTCATGCGAACCCTAATCCCTGGACCAAAAAATCTCTGAGACCTAGGGCCAAAATCACCAAAATTTGGGGCTCTGCTCCAGAGGCATCCTGGGCCGATCTGAGGGGGCACACGGTTTAGGGTTTAGGGTTTAGGGTTTAGGGTTTAGGCCTTCACAGACCTACCAAGAAGGCTAAGGTTTTCGGCAGTGCTTTCCCTGCCAGGGATACGTGTACACTTCGAGTGACCCGCCAAGGGCGGGTTGTTTGTTGGAAACCCTTGCTTCTCGTACAACCCGACACCAATCCATCTCAGCTGTGGTTTGCAGTGAAATGCTCATTTCATGCAGAACTGCGAAGTCCGAAGAGAAGCAGAGACAAGAGGGGGGTGAACCCCAAACCCTAATTGAGCATAGTTTGGGTGGTTGGGGGCGGGACTACATGCTGACGCAAGCACGCGATGGGTGGGCACCCCGCTTCCCAAAGAAACGCACCCAAACCCGAAACCCTAAACCCTACACTCTGAACCCTAAACCTTAAAACCCACACCCTGAAACCTGAACCCTAAACCCTGAACCCCCTAGAGCCCTTCAAGAACCCATACCTGCGCCCGAAGGACCACCAAGACGCCTTCAGCTCGGACAGCAGCGTCCCCAAGGGGGGTGGCAACCTGAGCGGTTCAGGGTTTAGGGTTTTAGGGTTTAGGTTTTTAGGGTTTGGGGTTTGAGGGGTTTTGGTTGAGGGTTTTTTTTTAGGGTCTGGGAGTTTAGGGTTTAGGGTTTACGCTTCCGGGTGCTGTAAAGGCTTTGTAAGGACAGGATAAGGGTGTTGTGAAGATGGTTTAGGGGGTTGTATGCCGGGGTTTCGGGTTTGGGGTTTAGGGTTTCAGGTTTAGGGTTTAGGGTTTAGGGTTTGTCATGGCTGCAGAACTCGGACATTTGAGGGACGGACTGCTAGCGAAGGCTTTGCCAGGGCTGAGGTCTCTTGCAGGAGTGGGTCGTTTGCCGGTTTAGGGTTTAGGGTGTAGGGTTTGGGTTTGGGGTTTAGGGTTTTAGGGACTGGCACTGGAATCTCCCACCTCAAACCCCTAATTGTGGCTAGCGGGATTCGGAGGTCTTCCTGCGAAAACAACTGGCTCGTTCTTGTCTCAACAAACCCGACCCTCTGAACTAAACCCTAAACCCAGCTTACTCATGGAGTTTAGGGTGCCGGCATGTGTCGGCTTCAATGTGGTAATTATTGATACCTTTTCAGCCTGATCCTACCCTAAACCCTAAACCCGAAACGTTCGCCCTAAACCCTAAACCCTAAACCCTCAACCCTAAATCCTCAACCCTCAACCCTAAACCCTAAACCCTAAACCCTAAGCCAGGCGACGGGAGCGCACCAGGCCATGGGGCAAGTGAAAGCCGGTTTCGCAGTCTGCCAGCCTCCGTGGCTGAATTGTGTAGGGTTTAGGGTTTAGGGTTTAGGGTTGAGGGGCTTCGGGCTTAGAGCTTTTAGGGCTTAGAGCTTCTAGGGTTTAGGGGTTTCGTGGTTCAGGGGTTCAGGATTTAGGATTTAGGGCTTCCGGTTCAAAGCATGCAACTTATCTCATGCAGTGGGTTTTCGTAAAGTTACGGCCGGCACTTAGTTTCCACACCCCAAAAGAAGGGCCGATAACTGTCAAGGACCCGCCACATAATTGCGAGCCTCCACATCGATCTCCTGCTGCACACTCTCCAGCTTGAAAGGCTGAAAGCCATCAGAGTTCGACGCTGCATCACCCAGCAGGCTCCGGATGTCTCCCCGATCGACGTCCTAGGATGCAGCGCAGAAAGTCTTCGGCATCTCTTCGCAGGAAAACCATCTCAGCTCAATAGGCACCCTAGCCAGGAAATCCCTGTGGATGCCAGGACTGTTGACCCGTAGCAGCATTTTTGCTACAGTTAGCGCTCTGTGATTCATACAAGCATTGTCGCGTCGTCTTTTTCGATTAGCAGGAGGACTAACCTTAGTCTTGCCGCTGCGAATGGTTTGACTATCTGTGGTAGTACGGCCACCATGAACTGCTACACGAGCACTAGCACTTGCACTAGCACTAGCACTAGCAGCAGT